AACAGTGGTACAATATTAGGCAAGTGCTTTAAATTGCCAGTACCAAAAAGTCAACATAATTAAATAAATTTAAAAGTCAATTTACTAGGACAATTAAATTGAAACTGATGAAATGGGAACTCAATAAAAATGTACCAGTACAACAAAATTTAATTTAATGAATGTGAACTCAACTAAAAAAATTATTATTACAACTAAATTGATGAAATGTGAACTCAACTAAAAAATTTACTAGGACAATTAGATTTAATTTGATGAATGTGTACTCAATAAAAAAAATTTACTAGGACAACAATTGAAATTTATAAAATGTGAACTCAACAAAAAAAATTGCTTGGTCAACTAAATTTAATTAATGTGAACTTCATAAAAAAATTACTAATAACTAAATTTAATTTGATGAATGTCAACTGAGAAAATTTACTAGGATAACTAAACTTAATTGGATGAATGGGAATTCATTTAAAAAATTTACTAGGACGACTGAATTGAAATTTATGAAATGAGGGCTCAACAAAAAAATTTACTAAAAACTAAATTTTTTGATAGTGTCCATCCTGATTTTGTGAACTACCTACATAATAAGATGATGGGTGGGATATAAATTTATTTTAATGAATACTCGATAATAAAAAAAAATTACTAGGACAACTAAACTAAAATTGATGAAATGGGAGCCCAATAAAAAATTACTAGTACAACTAAATTTAATTTAATGGATGTGAACAACAAAAAATTTATTAGGACAACTAAATTGAAATTGATGAAATGGGAGCCCAATAAAAAAATTTACTAGTACAACTAAATTTAATTTAATGAATGTGAACAATATCTTGGTGTAAATAAATAATGTTCTATCAAGAGTTAAATATTTACTTATTTGTTAACGTTAGCGATTTTGAGAGGAGTGTTGCTGGAGGTTGAAATGTTGAATTTGAAAAGGGCGAATCTCAGCGTGGATTCCACGGCCACTTGAAGCGGCAACTTCTCGACCGAATCACTTTTTCACGGGCGAACGGGGAAAAAAAGTCGTATCCGTCAAATTTCTTTTGGATCCGTTTGCAAGTTGAAGGCGAGTCCGTCGAGATCGAGAAGGAGCGGCGAATCTGCCGAAGCTTGTTTAAATGATATATTCGATAGCCGTCGAGTTGTACGACTCGGCCCTTCTCCTTTCGAATGGTTAACTTGCGACTGTTAGGGTCGGAACGGAAGGTAAAGTAAAAACTGCCGTTTTTCGTTTGGTTCAGTTTTGTTTTTAGTTGGAGGAAGGAAGGGGGAAATGACTTTCCAGCCGCAGGAGCAGTGGCTGAAAGATGTGCTCGTCCTGCTGAAGCTGTCGATGGCACCGGACACGGCCACACAGCGGGCCGTCAGCGAGAGGTTCGAGGAGCTTAGCGCGAACCCGGAGTTCTGCAAGTACCTCATGTACGTGGTGACGAAGATGCCCGAGGAGGACGAGGCGATCCGGTCGCGGAGTTGCCTCAACGTCAAAAACATCGTGAGGAGGTACCAGCAGAACATGCGAACCGACGTCTCGGACGTGGTCGAATACGTGAAGCAGATGGCACTGGTCAGCATCCAGGACAAGTCGTCGCTGGTGCGGAAGACGGTAGGCACGCTCATCTCCACCCTGGTGAGTTTGGACTCGCTGGCCAGCTGGCCGGAGCTTCTCCCCTGCCTTGTTGGCCTGCTCGAGACTAATGACGGCAATGCCTGCGAGGGCGTGATGAACGCGCTTATCAAGATATGCGAAGACATGACCGAGCTGCGTGACCCCGACTCGCCTCTCAACCACATCGTACTCAAACTGTTCAACTTCCTCGGACACAACGATACGAAGGTGCGATCGACTGCCGTCACCTGCATCAACATGTTCATCTCCAACAAGTCAGTGACTTTTTTGCAAAACTTTGACTATTTTATGAATGTGCTCTTTGAGATATCGAACGACAACGACCCAGAGGTCTGCAGGCAGGTGTGTCAGGCATTCGTCAAGCTGTTGGAGCAGAAGGTGGACAGCCTTCTTCCTTACATAAAACCTGTGATCGAATACATGATACTAAAGACACAGGATGAGAACGTCGCCTTACAGGCCACCGACTTCTGGCACACTCTGTCTGAGCAGGCCATTTGTAAAGAAGTCCTCGGTCCTTACCTTCCCAAATTGGTACCGGTGCTTGTGAGCAATATGAAGTTTACGGATTTTGATATAGCTGTTCTTAAAGGGGACATAGACGATGAGGCTGTCGAAGACAGGGATGAAGACATCAAGCCGAGGTTTTACAGACAGAAGACTCTGGATAACGAAAGGGAAGAATGCTCTGATGAAGAAGAAATCATCGGAGATTGGAATATAAGGAAGAGCAATGCGGCGGCTTTAGATACTTTCGCTCAGATCTTCAAAGAGGACCTCCTTCCTGTGATTTTACCAATTTTAAATGAGACTCTTTTCCATAATGATTGGGTGATCAAAGAATCTGGGATCCTTGCCCTCGGTGCGATTTCAGAAGGTTGCATGAGTGGGATCATTCAACATCTGAATGACCTGATCCCATATTTGATTCAATGCATGAGCCATAAGAGATCGCTCATCAGGGTGATCACTTGCTGGACCCTCTCCAGATATTACGAATGGGTGGTTTCTGAAGCCAGCAATGTATATCTTGAGCAGATCCTTTCTGGACTGCTTCACAGGATGCTCGATTCCAACAAAAAAGTGCAAGAGAGTGCTTGTTCCGCTTTGGCTAAACTGGAAGAGGTCGCCAGTTTCAAACTTATCAACCATCTTGAAGCCATTCTTAAAACTTTTGTATTTGCCTTTTCTAAATACCAAAGAAGGAATCTATCCCTGCTTTACGATGCTGTTGGCACATTAGCTAATTATGTTGGAAGTTGTCTTAACAGTCAGGAGTACATTAATCTCTTGATGCCACCATTAATTGACAAATGGAACAAAACCAACGACGAAGACAGGGACTTGTTCTGCCTATTCGAATGTATTACGTCTGTTGCAGTCGCCTTGAAGCATGGTTTTATTCCTTTTGCCGAACCTGTTTTTAAAAGGAGTCTCGTGCTTATCGAAAAGACATTGGCGCAGCAGATGGCCAAGGAGAAAGACCCAAAGAACGATGACCTCCCTGAATACGAGGTCGAGTTTATAATCTGCTCGCTTGATTTGGTGTCAGGCCTGGTAGGTGGTCTGGGACCGCAAATGGAGCCATTGATACGCAACTCCAACCTTTTAAACCTCTTGTACCAATGCATGCAGAACAGCACACCGGAGGTAAGACAGAGTAGTTTCTCTCTGCTCGGAGACATGGCAAGAAACTGTTTCCCTTGCATTTACCCCGTGTGGGGAAATTTCATCCCAGTGATAGTCTGTAACATCAACCCACAGTGTCTTCCTGTCTGTAACAATGCTACATGGGCGATTGGTGAGATATGTGTTAAAGTCGATGGGAGCGAGCTGAACCCCTACGTGGACCTTATAATTAAACAGCTTGTCGCGATCATCAATTCGGGCAACAGGATATTAGTCGATATCGCGGCGATAGCACTCGGTAGGATCGGAAACGTCTGCCCAGTTGAGGTGTCTGCCGTTCTAGACCAATTTTCCCGTGTGTGGTGCTTATCCGCTGGCAACATACGCGATAGATACGAAAAAGAATCTACTTTCAAAGGCATGTGTCAGGTGATCATCATCCGTCCTGTGGGCATTCTGCGAGACTTGTATCTCTTTTGCAATGCGATCGCAACCTGGGACGACCCCGGGGATCACTTAAAGGCCGTCTTCTCCAAGGTCCTCCATGGGTACAAGAATGAACTGGGCGAAGAGAACTGGAAGAAATTCACGGATCCATTCTCAGAACTACTCCGTGAGAGGCTCGCCATGTACCAAATCTAAACCAACAAATATTCCGGGGTTATGGGTATTTTGAATCTGCCATCGTTGGGAAAATTAAATACGCCGTCGGGGGATTGGGTCGCGTTGAAGTAAACAGTTCTTGCATTCTGGGGGGAGTAAAATCGTTTAATAATAAAAATATTAAAATAGGGAAAGGAAATATTGTATTTGAAATAAATAAAGGAGAAATACGTGTCCTACCGGATTAGGGCACCATCGTCGGTCGACTTGTGAATGTATTAAATAAAATCCAGTAATAAAACATTAGGCAGTTTTATTTGTCGTATTATCGAATTAATTATGATAAGTGTTAAACAGTCGGTAGGATTAAAGGGTCAATTTTGTATTAATAAATGGGATAAATTTCGTCGAAACAAGGGATTTAAATCGGTAATTTTTTTTAGAAAATGTAAAATCTTGTTAAACTTTTCGGCTAACTCGTTGGGTAAAATCGCGAACAAAAATTTCGAATTATTGGGCAGATTGAGTTTTAATTTCTTTAAAAAAAAACTAAAAAAATAAAAAAACAAAAAAAAACTTATTCGACATTTAACTTTTTATTTTTAAAAAGTAGAAAAATTAGACGTCAATTTTATTTTTTAATTGTTTATAATACTTATTGATTCAGTGTGAGCAATAGACTAGTCTAACTGTTGTCGTTTTCATTTAAATGCGATTTTTATCTAAATTCTTACATTTAGAAAAGTGAAAAAAGTCCTTCAACTTATTTTGGCAGTTTAAAATGAGTCTCAAAATTTAAACAAAAAATGTATCAATTATTGTAAACTTTTTATTTATTTTTTAATTTTTAATTTTTGAAGGACTGATAAAAAACTAAATGGAGTATTTAAAAAGTAGCAGAAAATAAAGGTTTTTCCTTAAAAAAACTAAATAAATAAATTTAAAAAAAGCAAAAAAAAAGATGATTAGTATATTATTTAAATAGTTATAAGATCTAAATGGAGAAAAATATTGATAATTTATTTATATATGTTACATTGTATATAACAATGTTCTTATTACTCGTAATTCCCATTTTAAATGTGACAAAATAATCTGAAAAAATGAAAGTTTTCTTGAAGAAATTGCTTTTAAAATATCTAAAAAAAAAAAAAAAAAAAAAAATCAAAAAACAAAGAAAAATGAAAAGATGTAAAGGCCTCAGTCTTAACAACCCTACACAAGAACAAGACAGTTTTCTCATAGACTGAAAAGAAGATGACATTAAAAGGTGATGTCAGACAAGAAACTTTCTCTTGACCATCTTAACTGAGTTGTGTTCTAGCTAAAACAACACATTCCCCATTTGAAGACGCTAGTTTTGAATGTGCTGGGTTGATTGAAAAACGAAAAAAAAAAAAAAAAAAAAAAAAAAAAAAAGGACCCTGCTTACACAGAAACCCTTGAAATGTTAGGTAATATATATTTAAAAAAAGTGACTGATAAATTTAACTTATGTTGTTTTTAATCATTTTCAGATAACTTCCATCGACAAAAATACAAAGCCCTTTAACAGCATTTTTTCTCCAACAGCACTATTTTGGAAGAGTTCAAATTCGAGGGTGACAGACTCGAGGTAATTTTCTTGCAAGTTTGTTTATTACCCATCATATATTGGTTTAACCCCTTTGTTTGTCTTTTAAACAGTAGTGGTTTAGGGTCTCACTAACCAGAGCTTAATTACAGACGGCCCCGCATCGCTTGTTTTGACACATCATGTTTTTGATCTCAAAACTAGTTTTTTCCGCATGGTAAGGAGCATGTTTTGCAAGCATCCTGTAATATCATTATACAAAAAAGAGAAAAGGATCTTGTGATTGTTTGAAACTCTTAGATTGTGCACGTGTAAAATAATCTCTTGAGGTAATTTTTTATATCGTCTGATTTTTTTTAGTTTTGATTGATAATTTTGATTTTAGCATTTTGTATTTTTTTGACATTAATTCACTGAGGTACAAAATTAACGCACCACCCTTAAATTTTAATGTATTTATGCTTATTCATATTTCGCATAGCAAAAAATAAGTTGTAAAAATAAGAAATTTAAAAAGTAAATGTTTATTACCTAATTCTTAAAAAAACAAAAAATCAAAAACATAAAAATTATTTTAAAAAAAGTTTTGTCCCCTTTAATACCGAGTATTTCCACCTCTAGCACAAATGACATCTCTTAAACGCATTTTCATTCCTTAGAAAAGGTTTCTAGTAAAATCCAGAGCCATTAATCAAAAACAGCAGTTTCCAACTTTTTTAGGGTGTTAGGTGTTACCTAGGTTCACTGTCGTACTCGTCACTTAAGTTGGCCCCAAATGTGTTCCATTGGGTTCATATCTGAACTTCAAAGCCTTCCAAAGCACTCAGTTCTCACCGATGTGGGGGGCAAATGACACTACATGTTGTGATGGTTATGTTTTGTAAGTATCTCTGTGAAGTTAGAGATTTTCTTTGCACAACAACCAATTCAGTGCGGGTGTTCAAAGAAATGCCACCCCAGAACATCAATTACCCACCGAGGAATGCCACCTAAGGAACCCTATTGCATGAGGCGTACCTTTCTCCTGAGTGTCTCCATATGAAATTATGCCCATCTGAAGATTTGAGGCAAATTCTCACCTCATCTGTACAGAGAACATGTCCCCAATCTTCCAATGTCCAATTCACATGTTTCTGTGTGAATTGAAGCCTGGCCATTTTTCTGAGCTTGATAAGGAGAGGTCCACGTGCAAGGTGCCGGGCCATGAGGTTATTTTCATTGAGCCTTCTTTCACCCTGGAGGAAATCAAACAGTTCGGTCTTGTCTCAACATATTTTGTATCTCATTTCCTGTAATGCTGCAGTTTTGTAGAGCCTGATGAATCTATCATCTCTCTTGTTTGTCGACCTAGGTCAAGCCTCTGCTGGCCTTCTAGTGTGAAGCCTTGTTTCTCTGAAGGGCCGAGGAACCCTTCTTGATTTACATTTATTCTACTGGAGTCTTCTCACCGGCTGTATCATTCCTCTAATAATGTTATGACCCTGATACTCAACTCACTCAAATGCCTGGCTGGAGCATTTGAAAAACGTTTAAGAATAAGAATAATTGGAAATGAAATTAAAAAAGTAAAGACATTAAGTGAAAGCGATCTTTAGATGTAGCAGAATTCCCCCCCCCCTTTGATGCAGTGTCTCATTTGTGAAAAAGCTTGTCTATATCTGAAAGTAAATATTTGTAAAGCCTTTTAGATTAAACATTTTTATGATGAATTATAATGATAAATTATAATTAATTTTTATTTTGAACATTAGTTCAATGTTTGAATTGTTTTTTTTTTTCTAGATGGAAAAGTAATTATTTCCCTATTGACGGTATCATTTATTTTTATTGGTGATCTTATATTCAATGCTAGTCCTGCTCTAAGCGAATAGAAATTGAGCAGATTAACTAAGACAAAAGTCAAAATTGGTAATTTTTCAACATTCAATTTTGGTCCTTTTCTTTTTATCCTTTAATAATGTATTTAATGTATTATTTTCAGAACGCATCTAACAAAAATCCCCTAGAAAAAGCTGAACCAAAAGTTACCATTGATAATCCTGTACGAGAAATATTGTAGCACATATAGGACATTCAATTTCTGGTAATTATAAATATTGCATTTTTCTGTTTAAGAATCGTAAATACTGAGAATAATCTTGACATACTTTTTTTTTCAGGTCTCAGACCAATTTTATGCCAAAGCTCAAATAAATGATTGACAATGTGATCTTGTTTAATTTTTGTTAATTAATTTTTTGCAATAAAGTTAATTTGTTTAAACAGTTTTTGGGATTATTTCAAAATATGAAACCTGAATAGGAACTTCCAAAATAAGTCTTTTTATGATATTTTTTTACGGTGATACAGTGAATTTACCATTTTTATAAAGCAAAGGTTGTCTTAATGATTTACTCTGAAGTAATTTAATTTTTCTTTTATTTTATTTATCTTTTTTTTCCAATTTTTAATAAAAACACGTTTTAATGTTTTCACATTGGTTTATTGTACAAAAATCTTTCCATTAAGTCAAAAGCCCAGACAGGTTGATCAGATGGAACCATGTGGCCAGCATTGCGGACTAATACTTCAGTAAACCCCTTGACTGTTTTATAGTAGCCGGCCAGTTCGCTGTCCACGTACCATTTCTTCCTTTGTGCTCTTTTATAAGCCTGGCTTCCGCTCCAATTGACTGTTTGGAGAAAATCCAGTGTTAGAGGATATGCAACAATTATATCCAGTTGACCGTTGTAGATCAGTACTCGGTACTTTTCGATCAGGACTTCAAACCAGGGCTTAATCGATTTCATGACGTCCTGGACAAGGTGTTGCTCTACTACTCGCCCGCTGTTGAATGTTAAGTTTCCAACATGAATGCTCTTGCGGACAGTGTCTTTTTGGAAAAACTTGCCCAAATCTGCATCAGAATTATCTTTGGTGTGTAAGAAATTGAAGTAAAAAGAAAATCCTGTCACATTGGCAAAAAGCGAGGGGTAGGGTGTCAAGTCACCATTCAGCAGAGTGTCAAATGTCTCAAAAGCCTCAACATATTCTTCTTTTTTAATATGCTCACGTAACTAAATAAAATAATGAATGGTTAATTTAACTTCACCCAAAAAATAAATTTAATCAAAATATTTTTTTAATATCATTTTAGCCAATCACCAAGTTATAGTAATTTACTACATACCTTGTTTTGGATTCTTTCAAATTTCAATTTTGTCGGAGAGTCAATCAAGCCTAATTCATTAAGATGCTTTCCGTAGTTCAACATATTTATGGGATCACATAGACCATTTCCAATAGCGAATCCTTTTAAGTTGAGTTTTTCATGGGATAATTTATTTTTTTCGTGGATCGTATACGCCATCGCAGGAACGTATTTACCCCCATATGACTCTCCAGTGACGAAAAAGTCATTTTTCTTCAAATCCGGAAAAACCTGGAAAAACTGTCTGATCGCCTCGTGTAGATTATTTCCCACCATTGTTTCATCAGTGGAATAACCATCTTTGTCGGTAAAACTAAAACCGGTTCCGACGGGGTTGTCAATGTAAATCATGTGGGCAAATTTTGTCCAACGATGTTCATAGAGTTTTACTTCACCGTTGATCAGTCTTAACGGCCCATGTTCGGTAAAGAGGCCGTACATCGAAGAAGCTCCTGGGCCACCTTGCAACCACACAACCACCGGGGCTCGATCCAAGTTGTCCTCCGCGGGAAAATACCAGAAAAAGAGATTTGAGTTGTGTGTTTTATTGACTGTGAAATATCCCGCATAGCTGAATACGTTTTCGACCATTGGAGGCACGAATGAAGCTTCTCTTGCTCCCTCAACATCATGCTTTTCCAAATATTTTGTCAGAAACACTGGCTCGCCATAATCTTGTCCTGAAACTTGGTAATATTCAATTTTCTTATATGGACTAAACGATAATACACACTGTATACACAGTGTGATAAACGTTAACACTTTCATTCTGACTGTGAGACTGATCCCCTCCCGTCTAAAAATTTCTTTTATGAACAAAGTATTATCTGTAAGTTGAAGTGTTTATTCTAATACAATCCATAATTACATCAATGATTGATGTTATAATTTTTTTATGTATGATGAAATTTCATGTCATAGTCAGATAAAGTAAAACATTGGGAAACAGTTATGAATTTGAATCTAAATAGTGAAGGATGGCCTGTCAGAGCAAATATGCTAAAGTGATGTACTTTATGGCTTTTTTTCTCTTGCAACAAGGGATGATAATGGAGTTAAAAATTAGACATATTTCACACTGCTCAAATAATAAAATATTGTAATTGGTCGTTAGTAATGATGTAATGCCTATTTCTTTGTGGTTTGTTAATTGACAGTGTAGGATGAAGACGAATGAAGACGGATGAAGAACATTTACTTTTGTTTGCCATTTGGCTTAAAGCACATAAAAAGAGATTCATCCATCCTGAAAAGGAGAAAAAATTAAAGGACTATTGTCAAATTTTTATTTCTCTTGACCCAAGTTTCCCTTCAACTCCCCCCCCCCAGTTAGGCCCCTTTCACACTTGACAATATTTTTTGACCAATAAAAATTTGGCCGATATTTTAACGTGTCTAATTAAATGCAATGTGCTCTTTCACATTGGCCAATTTTTTATTGTCTGATCGACTTGTGACTGGTCTCCACCACCGGATATCAGACGATATTTTGTTGTCTCCGTTTTGCAGTAGTGCACTACTGTTAATGACCTTTTAACCCAATTTTTTATCGTCTGATCGACTTGTGACTGTTCTCCACCACTGGATATCAGACAATATTTTGTTGTCTCCATTTGGCAGTAGTGCACTACTATTAATTACTATTTATTTAGAAATTGTGAGATGCGGTCTGGTGTATGTAGGTTTCACAAAAACATTTTCTTTATCGTGCCAACGTTTCAATCTTTATTGAGATCATTTTCAGGGCCTGGGATTTACAAACATTGTTTACATATTACAATTACATTTTGGATGTGGACAAGTGAATTTATACAATGCAAAATATATTTTATATATTCAATCAAAGTATTTCTACTCACTCGAAGTGTTTGTCTTCTGTGTAATTGTGTCATTCTTGCGTGTCGTGTCGAGAGTGCCAGTAGCAAAAATGTTTTTCTGCAACCTACATCACACCAGACCACATCTCACGATTTCTAAATAAATATCGATTAACGGTCACTAATCACCACACAACACTATTAAATACCTTTTAACATTGGACAATATTTTATCATGACTGTTGGGTCAGTTGGGTTGGAGTTATTTATAAGTTAATAAATTGGTATTAATTGGGTAATTTGACACAGATAATTACTACTAATATATAATATTTATTTGGTTTGTAAATTAGATAGCAAAATTTAGAATAAAGGAGGTATTTTATTCATTTATAAAACGCTAGCATCTTTTCCTAGTTTATTTTATAATTACTTGTTGATTCATAATATTTTTATTTTATTTTAAAAACATGAAAATTTTGGTTGGGGCAGAAGGTGAAGTTGCATCTGGTGACAGTCAATTCATCAAGAACTGCGGCATATTATAGTTTAGGCTCTCATCTAAAAACTAAGAAAGGCGATCCATTGTTGCTGAGAAAGTTGGAGTCTCTCAAAGATGAAAAGCCAAATACTGCCTTCATTAGAAACCTTTAATGAAAAGAAGTTCCCCAGTCTCAGATGGGATACTGAAATGAAACAAACACTACAGAACACAAATCAGCTTCTTTGTCTTCTTTTCAGTCTACTGTGTATCCTAGTGTATGTAATATGTTTCCTTTTACCATTCCAATTCCAATCTTCCAAATATATATATTTTTAATATGTAAAGAATGTATAATTATAATTTATAATTACATATGGTAATATAAGTTTTAATATTTTAGCTATTTTAAAAGTTCATGAATAGTTTCAGAATGGTTGGTTAAAGATGAACTTTTTCAAAAGAATAAGCGCCCGTGTTGGTTGATCTTGTGGCACCATGTGTCCAGAATTCCTCACGAGGACCTCAGTAAGCCCTTTGGCCTGTTTTACGTAGCCTGCCAGTTCACCATCGACAAACCATTTCTCCCTTTTGGCATTCTTGTACTCTTGAGCTCCACTCCATTCCAGCTTTTTCAGATAGTTGACTGTAAGAGGGTAAGCGCAGATTATATCAAGCTGACCACTATAAACTAAAACTCTGTAGTTTTCAAGGAGTGTCTCCAGCCAGGGTACAACAGATTGGAGAGTGTCTGCTAACAGATACTGAATAACAACTGTATTGTTGAATAAGAAAGGTATATCCCCGACGTGCAAGCCCCTTCTCACGTATTTTTGTGAAAGAAATTTTCCTATATCTCCATTCATCAAGTCATCTTTATAGTGTAGAAAATTAAAACTAAACGTAAAACCTGTCTCATTGTAGAAAACACATTTGGTCATATTCCAGAACTGTATACCAGCTTTTTCATAGAGTCCGTTTTTATATGCATCTAGAATCAAATTTTGATGCTGTTTGTAAATATTTTTTCCTTTCTCATCGATCAAACCAATATTGTACAGATATTCATCATATAACATCATATTAGGAGGATCTGTGAAGCCATTGCCAATGCCGATTCCTTTTAATTTTATTTTTCTGTCACTGATAAGGTTATTTGTATGGATTGCATATGCCATTGATGGGGCATATTTTCCGCCATATGATTCACCAAATATGTAAAAGTTGTTTTTCCTATATTCAGGGAAAACAAGGAAAAACTGATCAATCATGTTGTACAAATCCTTGCCGATTCCCGCTTGCTCTGTGGCATATCCCTGCTCACTGTCTGTAAAACTAAAACCCGTTCCTACTGGGTTATCGATGTAAATCACATTTGCAATTTTAGACCAGTATACAGTGCGCAATTCCAAGGATCCAGTTTGGTTTATACAGTATACTCCATTCTCTATGAAGAGACCGTAAAGAGATGAAGCTCCAGGACCCCCTTGGAGCCAGACGACTACAGGGGCGTTCTCCTTGTCTTCTCTGGCAGGAAAAAACCAAAAATAAATATTCGAGTTATATGTCTTGTTTACCGTGAAAAAACCAGCATAGCTTTCCACATCTTCCAAAAATGGCGGTACGGCGGAGGCCCTCCTTGCACCCTCGATATCATGATTCTCTATGTATGTTGTAAGAAATGCCGGCTTGCCAAAATCACCAAAAACATCCTGGGCATCAGTGTTTTTTTGTGAAACGAACCCCTTAACACAAGTAATACAAACAAGTATAACTAGATTATTTAACTTCATGTCTGAATGTGCTTTACAACTCAATTGTACTAAATAAAATAATCAAACACTCCATAAATTTACAGATAGCTCGAGAACGCACAATCATCAAATGCAGATTTGTTATCTCAATTTTTCAATCAGAGTTAATTTATTATGACATTATCTCTAGTACCAAATCTAGTACTTTAGTATTAACTTTTTATGATTAAACATTTATGTCCACCCTAAATTCGGCAAAATGAAAATAATTTAAAAGTTCGATAATAGATTAAATAAGACTCTTATTATTTATATAAAGTAGAAATGTGTGGTGATTAGTGACCGTTGGTCGATGATTATTCAGAAATCGTGAGATGCGGTCTGGTGTGATGTAGGAAAAACATTTTCTTTGTCGTGCCAACGTTCCGATCTTTATTGATATCATCTTCAGGGCCTGGGATTTACAAACATAGTTTAAATTTTAACGAATATATGTTCTGAAACCTACATCACACCAGACTGCATCTCACGATTTCTGAATAATCATCGACCAATGGTCACTAATCAACACAGTTTAAGGCAAATCTGATCATATTTACCTAAGTATTTGCTGACTGTACTAATAATTTATCATAAGACATAAAGATAAGCTAATCTTAATATCTGTTGGCAGGAACTACTGTATGTTTAAAAATGATACAGCAAAGGTTGAAGATAAGTGTGTTGGTTTAAATAACTTTTCACCAATTTAATTATATTTCTGAAACTAATGACTGCACATGACTAGGTATAATTGCTTTAACATTTGTAACCAAAGACTTCAAGGGGCCCTACAATATGACATTGTTGGATCAAAAATTGAACAAGGAGTAAAGGGGCCAATTTACAACCTCGCAAAAGCCCCTTGGATTAGTCCTGCCAGTTCCAAGCATGTACTTTCAGACAGAAAGGCAGCTATAAAACACTAAATTTGTATGCTTTTAGTGAGCAGGTAGTCTGAAAGTGCTTAAATTGACTAAAGGCCATTGGAATACACAAGGTTATCTTATGGTGGGTTCTGTTCTGGGACAAAAGTATAAGAGAAAATGAACAGGCTTAATAACTAGCCACAGAATTTCAACAAGGCACATCAGTGAATGTTTTACTTTTGTTATTTCTAGTCTACTGTGGTGGTTGAGTAGCAGGGTGTTCGACTCGTATTTGCCACGCTAGTGGTTCTTCGAATCATTGCATAGCCCATGATTTGTTGATAATCTCAACAAAAGTATTGTAAAGTGGTTGGAATCCTTATCCGCAATACCCAAAGGGTAGTTGTCCATTAAGCCCTCCTGTATGACAATAATTACTTCACTATTTTTACTTACTATCAAACCAGTTCTTAAACAGTTCTTTTGAATTTGTTTCAATTAACAATTATTTCCTAGATTGAAATTACATATTGAAATACTTAGACGGTCATTAACTCAGCAGTGGGTGCGTATATAAATATTACAGAAGTGGGTCTGTGCGGTACCCAGTTCTGCATTTTTTGTGTGTAAATTTACAGGCTTCAAAAGTACAAAGTTACATAATAGCAACATTTAATAAAATGTGTGGTGATTAGTGACCATTCATTGATAATTATTCAGAAATCGTGAGATGCGGTCTGGTGTGATGTTTGTAAATCCCAGGCCCTGAAGATGATCTCAATAAAGATCGAAACATTGGCAGGATAAAGAATGTTTTTCTAAAACCTACACCACACCAGACTGCATCTCACGATTTTTGAATAATTTAATAAAATATTGTCTAATAAAAGACTTAGGATGATTAATTTACATAAGGGCTTATTTAAACAAACAAATTACAAATTTCTCAATCAATTCTTCCTCCAATCATGCATTGTGGTAACAATATTTATTTAAAAATAATTTGACCGATTCGTTAATCTGAGAAAATGTAGGTTCATCATGGATCATATAATTATGATGTGCCCTAAACTCAGAAAGGAAAGAAAAAAATTAGATTACTTAAGGAAATCACTTGGAATATCTGTTTAAATATCAAATACTAGCATAAAGAATCATTAATATATCAGTTAATGTCTTCCTATTTGTAGCAAAAATCATTTTTTATTTTTAAAAAATTCAAATAATTATAATACAGTAATATTTTATGATTGTAGCAAAAGATTTATTTAAATCGTACATAAGAAGAGCTGTAGTACAGGGTGGGGTTCCCCCCATTAGCTGGCAGAAATATGAATATATATTTCTAGAAGACATTTAGCGGGCCATGGATATGATTGTAAAGTTAATGCCAAAAAACTTTTATTGCTAAAAAAAGCTCTCAAAATTAGCAGACCAGAACCATCCTTTTTTCCAAATTTCCTTCTTTCGTGTCTGTTTTACTTGTTTTTTTTTTTAATTCCCAGTAAATATAGTACCCCCAAAACAGCCATTATCTTATTTTTCTTCGTAGGTTTTGCATTTCATTTGCTTCATTGACATTAATGTTAGTGAAAAGTACTATATCGATCGTATATTAGTGATAAGGCAGAAATATATTGAACTCTGTACGTAAATCATGCATAACTGGTCAAGTTTTTATATTTTTTACTCACGTTTTATGAAATCGATTATCCATACTGTAAACCATCATCTTTTCCATCGAAAAAAGTATAATTAGGGACAGAATGTTCTACAGCATGTCTTCATCATCTATTATTTCATCTTCACAAGCAAATTGCTCTGATTCGCTCAGATCGCCTTTTATTATTTCTTCTGCTTCATTGTCAGTATCACCTGTCATCATGAGATTTACCCAAAATTAGCCAGAAAACCTCCAAAAAATTTTCAGATTCGTTATACAACTTTTCAGATCTGGTAAGTAAAAAAAAAAAAAAATTCAAGTAAAACCAAAAAATCATAGCTATAACCAAAGTAACATTAAAATATGATCATGTAACCCAGAATAATGTTAAGATTATTATACTTACATTAAGAGGCATGAACAGATGAAGTTCTGGAAACTCAAGTTTTCTCTTTAATGGCCCCGTAGTGAGTGAGATAAAGGAAAATAAAAAATATCACTTATTGATCCCTGATCTTAAAAAGTTAGAGGACGAATACTATCCATGGTGCAATCGGAACAAAAATTCAAACTAAAAAAAAAGAAAGGAAATTGCAGTACTGCTATGTGCCTCTGCTGCATGATTAAACTTGTGTTGGTTTTGAACCATTTCTGTGTTCAATGATTCTGATTTTAAATTTGTAGTTTGACATGCTTATATTGTTGATGAAAGACCATCACAGAGGAAATAGGGTTTTCACATTACAATTAAATTAAATTATTGCATATGTGCTAGTATGGTTATAATTCATTAAATAAAGTAATGGCTTTTTCCCTATACATTTTTGGTTTTTGCATAATCATTTTTCCCACAAACTGCAATAAATATAATGATAAATCAGAAATTTAATTTATGTAAAATTAAATCTTTATATGCACTGCTTAGATGAGGAAGTCATTGTGCTCCGTCACTTTAACCCAAAAAACATTAATTTGTAACTGCATCTATACAGAAATTTGGTCAATAAATCAATCAATTTACAAACAGAAACTTTTGGCTTTATCATAAAAGAAACACACAAAAGAATAAAAATACAAGGTCAAATTTATTTTTGTTTTATTGATACTAAAACATTTACAATATTGTCGAAACAGGACGATTATAAAAACATTATATAGCTATATTGGTCTAAAATTCCTAGTATACAATATTTTTTGAACACTATATTTTGGAGGGATGTTTACAACAGATGATAGTGAAATTTTTTAAAGCCCGCCTTTTTGTTTTCAACTTGAACAATCCTTTACCTGTGTCTTCCATTGCGGATCACAAAATTTACTTTGATATGTTTTTAAAAACCAAACTTTAAATTTTACGTTTAAAAAGAAGAAAAAAGTTCATTCCATTTTAACCTCGAAAGGGGGCTTTTTATTAATACAAACGATGAACAATAAATCCTACTGCTTAAAACAAATGTCATGATACTTATTGGACTAGACTAGACTACACATGCTTTTTAGTTTTTTAACAACTTTTCTTAATGAAAAAAACAATAATTATAAGCACAACCTGGGTTCTCTAAAAGAGTAAAGTTTATAAATCACAATACAAAAATTGGAAATATCCCAGCACCTTTTTTTTAAAGCAGTGCAACCCAAAATTTTTATAAAGTATCATGACATTTTTATAATTAAATATAAATTATTAGTTTATAAAATATCCTTAAAGGCTAATTAAATATTTTAAAATATACCTTCTCAGTTTAAATTATAGTTGTTTTAAAAATTCCTTTACCAAATTTAACTTTCCTTTACCACTGTTATGGCACTCCCTTCAGTAATTATCGTCGATGTAATTAAAATTCAAGCCACTATTTACAACCTAGAGTTAAGTTACAAAAAGAAAAAAAAGTACAAGTAACATCGATACGATTCTATTGTTATATTTACTGAACAATAAATACATTTTTAATCTGTGTTGGCACTGTTAAACATTCGAATCGATATTTTTACAGGGAAAAGGTTAAAAATTGGAAGTTCTTTCTGTGAAAAGTTGGCACAAATGTTAATAAGGCAAGTATACAGATTTGGAAGAGTTATAGACTATTTACGGTGGGCAAATTAATCATTTATTTTAAAAAAGTGCCATTTGTTCCATTTTAACACGGGGAAATTTGAAAATACTTTAAAACATTGCTAATTTTGCAACAAATAGGTAAAAAATTCATGAAACCAGAAACAAAAAACTGTCAGGGTTTTAAGAAATTTACCTTATCTACCAAATACACACATGAAAAACACTGACTTGTTATTGAACGCTTAAAGCAATTTCTTTTATTCTATCAAAATACCATAAAAGAGTGAATTTATAACATTCCACCAATTATCACAAATATATTAAAAAAAGAAAACAATAACATCAAAGTTTGTTTTGCTATTAAAAAAAGAATAAAAATTATGTACACCTAGGTTCAATGATAGAATCATGTTCAATTTGTGAGGACGTATGATGGATGGATGATTTCTCACAAAAAAAGGTTGAATGCTCATTTATGAATTGTAACATCATTCAGTACCGATATCACAAAATTTCCTTAAAGAGAATAAAAGAGCTTCGTCTTTCAATACCAGTAGAGGAAAAATATCACCACATAAATAAATAAATTTAACATTCCATTTTATAATTTAGAATTTCTTGGCTTTCAGGTTTTATATACCTATCCGTAAGGTAAATAGTCAAAGGCGATTTTTACATTTTTTTTTTAAATTACGTTAATTTACAGTTCTTACAGATGGTAATCCGTACCAAATTAAAGCTGAAAAAATACCGCTATTTTTCTTTTCTCTTTTGAAAATGTTCATTAAGTCTTAAACTCTCGCTTAAGAAAATTAAATTGGCCAATTTTAAAGTTGAACGATCAACAGCAGAACTTCAATAAGATGATCAAACCAATTCAGGGACAGTCACTTTAAAAAAAGGGAGAAAAAAAGGCTCAAAGCAATGTAAAAGCCAATTAAAATAAAAGATGCAAACAGAAAAACAAAGTGTTTTAAAGGATCACATTTTCTGTTGCACCTAATAGTTGGTTTTGATTCTGACATCTGCTGCTCCGCTTCCTTCGGTGGGGCGTGTTTTTCTTAATTATTTTTATTGGTATACCAACTCTGGTAGGGGCTTCACTAGGCATTCAGTATACGCATGGAGTACACAGCTGCACACAAATCTGAACTGACTCTGCAAATCAAAATCATTTTGTTAATTAGCCATTAAAATAAGAATAAATAAATTTGACAAATTTACTTACCGATATCTGGACCATCATAGCTCTTTGATCTCTCATGTGAGTAACGATTTGGAGAGGGTAAACTGGTTGGTTTGCCTCTATTAGGCAAAGAGCAGTCTCCATTAAAATAAGGACACCAGTTCTTCCGATACCGGCTGAGCAATGAACAATTGTTGGCTCGAGCTAGAAGTGAAAGTATTCGTTTATAATGAAAAATTCAAGGTTTAGAAAATTAATACTAACCATTCCCATACGGTATCTGCGAACTTCGGCTATAAATTGTAAAAATACAGCTGTGTTATCAGGCACGCCGTGATCTGGCCAACCAACATACTGCAACTGAGTCACCTCCCTTTCGAGACCACTCTAAATAAATTACAAAATGATTAAATTAAATGTGTCAATTTGGTGAAATTAAAAAAAAAAAATAAATCCTTGCCTGAATATGAGTGACGGTCAGAGTGTTGCAGATAAACCCTGCAGGGTTGTTGTAGTGACACCGAATCGATTTAATTCGGATACCGCTCGCCTCCATGCTCTCTCCGATGTTTGGCCAATATTTGTGGCATTTGATGCGGCCCCGTTCAACAAGGCCGGTCACCATGACAATCAAGCTGCTACCAGCCTCCCAGACCATCTCCCAGAAATCGCCGACGGTGTTTGCCAATGGCCCCTGCGTCGCTATGTATCTGTTAATTATACCAGAGCCAGGGATTTCCATGTTGACATAGTTTGCATTGATATAGTCCCCATTCGTTCCATGCTCGAGGATAACTCGAGTCAGGTCATCTGAAAAATTAAACATCAAACTAAATGTTTTTAACTTTGATTAGATTAGGAGGCAAAAGTGCCGTACTATGCCTTAGCAAAGCTCCATAAACTAATGTCAACAATTTTTCTCCATACAATACAATACTGGGCACAGGAGTTAATTAAAAAAAAAAAATTATGACTTTTTCCTATCATGTTGGTCTCTATCTATCTTTGCTGTTTTCCTCACAACTAAATATTACAAAATGCCAAAATATTTCTGACAGGTCAAAACAGCGAGAATAGTCCGACAACGATCAGAAGTGACCAAGGCATCAATCAAGAAATCTTGGGCTTACTTACAGGGTAAAATATCGGTGTAGCGGTTTGCGTTAGTGTTGTGTGGGAGAGTCGCATGGGATGTAGACAGACTTGGCTTTTTTCTATAAAGTCGTTCAAACTGGACAATAATCGTTCCAGAGACCAGGCCTTCCCTCAGGATTGCCATGCTCTGCTCCAAGGTCTCCCGGCCGGAACTTGTGTCGGAAACATATTGATATAACGGCTCCTCTTCCACATTTTCTCCTGCATCGTATACACCTTGGCAGAGACATTTTTTGGCATTAAAGCAAGCCTATTTTTGATCTGTGAATTTAAATAACTTACTGCTTGGTCGGACGGTCAGAATCAACTCGCCTACCCTTGAATCTCTGGAAGCTCTTATTAGGTTGACAACTTGTTCATGAGGCATCCCTCCGACATCGATTCCGTTAATAAGTAAAACCTAAAAGATAAATAAACAATATTATGTAAATAACAATCATCTGAAATGAGCCAATTTAAAAAAATTTTTTTTATTAATTCTGCACTGTGCGTTTTAAAAACTAAAAAATTATGTAAAAACATTAACTAAGCATTCTTCATTAAGATTTTAGATTTCATTAAACAGCAAATACAAATGTAATGTGTAGTGAACAAAAAGTGAGATATATTTATTAATTTGGTAAGTCATGGTCACCAGCTGAAATAAAAGAATATCATGATGCACAAAATCATTATCGGAGTGTTTTCTCCATAGACAACTTTTTAATAATCTTTAAAACTAATAAGATAGTCATTTTAATCAAAGAATAACAAACCTATTTCAAAAATTAACTGACATTCTCCAAGTAACATCCAAGCACTCATATCAATTATCCCAAATTCAAAACTTCATTTTAGACTTTTCATTTTGTGAACAGATTTCACGATTACATGCCCTGATATCTGTCATTCAGTTATTGCAGTTCTCATTATCTCTCTTTCCAACTAAATAAATGCTTTGAAAGGACTTAATAAAACTTTACAATTTAATCGTCTTACCTGATCTCCTTCGTTGAGTTTTGGGTAACATCTATCAGCTGGAGTATTTGGAGCCACTCTAGAGACAAGAATAGGCATGTCGAGATCGCTTCCGCCTTTGACGTTGAACCCAAACCGGCCTTCTTCATCAGGAGTCATGCGAATGCACACTAGACCATCGTCATTCTAATGACAAAAATTAAAAATAAACATAAAAAATTATGTACAGATTCCTCTCTGTAAGTAGACATTTAACTGGGCAAAACGATTTGACTTAAACTTAAAAAAAAAAAAAAAAAAAAAAAAAAAAAAAAAAACGGGCAACAATGTAGGTAGTTAGATTTCTCCATATAGACCGTAACGAGCCTGTAATTCTCCTTTCACGGAATATCATCAAGATCCCTCAACAATATAGACAAGCATGGAACTACTCCAGAAATATATATATGAAATAAATATACATTCTTACCCCCTTTCTACCAATTCCATAAAACAAAAATTGTTCTAAGCAGTTTTTTGTTTATTTATTTTTTTACAGACCGATACTAAGTTGTTTTAATTTTTTTGTGGATAAAATTTGCGGTATTACTTGAGGAATCATCAGTTCATCTTTTCCAATTCTACTTGGCATTTTAGTTACAAAAGTTCTTTCTTTGCGAATGGATTTTGTAGGATTAAATTAATTCGATGATGTCTTGTTCTTCCATGGATTCTTCACTTAGATTCCCTGTATTGGCTTGCTGTGTGATAACATTCACTTAATTAATTTTAAAAAAAAACCACATTTCCTCTTACAGACATAGCAGCCTTCTCCCAGTATTTAACACTAAAAACTCGTAATTAAACTAATTACCAACAGCTCACATACATAATTTACCCCATTCTCAACCATACAAATTTTAAAAAAAGGGATCAACAGTCACAAAGATGGACTGGAAATCCAGAGAACCCCAATTTTCTAGCAATAACTGCCATATTTTTTTTTTATCCTTTCTGAACTTCGTGAACCAACTTAAACTTTTCTACCAATTGAAAGAATTTTTAGTTTTCACATAGGGGGGGAGGGGACCTTGCAATTTAAAAACTGAAGGCAAATATTCAAAAGTATTTCAACTGATAGAGATGATGACACTCAAGAATTCAAGTCATAGCAGTGAAAGTCCCTACAGGCCTATTTTTCTCAGTTTAACTTTAAATATTTACCATAATTATAATTATATGATAACAGAGAATTTTTTTTAACTTATTGAGAGTTGATTGATATATTAAAAACTTACAGTAGGATTTGTCTGGTCATAATGGGAAATTTCATAAACTCCTGTAGCTGTGGTTGGCCTTTCTATTTCCGGATCTTCGTCTGCGTAAGAGATCGCTCTAGGAGGAAGTACAGGTGTGAAGGCTCTATGCTCTTCTAAAGTCCTTTCAAGAAATCCACCCTCGCTGTTTAAAACAAAAAATAGTTTATATTTTCTAACAAAACAAAATAATGTTATTAATTTACTCGTCATTGATGTTGTTTGGGGAAGTTTCACCCCATGCACGTTTAGGTTCTCTCGAGAGCGATGTGACTTTGTTATCATAAGGTCTTGAAGATCTTGTTGAACTGGTAAGCCCCACTTTTGATTTTTCATCGGTACTGACCATTAATTTCCTACTTGAACACCTTATGAATGTGCGCTCCGCTCTGGGTCTGAGTTTTGACTCTTCAACTGCTTGCAGTTCTGTCCGTCCGGAATACGAAAATTTAGACCCTAGCGGAAGAGGTGTCCTTCTTTTGACAGCTGGAGAGTGGAGGCGGAAAAAAGTGTGGTGTTCGACACAAGACTTCCAAAGTACTTTGCAAGATCTGTATGTCACTATGTTGAAACCCAAAAGAGTATCATAACTCTCACTCTGTGTGTATTAAAAAAAGAGCAATTAAAAAAAAATTAAAAAAAAATACGCAAACATAATTCTATGACTAATAATGATAAGAAAAGCTAACAGATAAGCAGTGTTTTTATTTTGCTCTTTTTCACCGTCATTAAAGCATTATTATCATTAATTTACCTGTTCTCTCCTCAGCTGTATAAAGAACTGTTTTCTCTTAAATGAGATTTTAACAATTTTCCCCCATGAAAAGCTGTTAATTTTTATCCCATTTTGAAACACAACAAGGCCAATAGAAGTCACACCGAGCTGAAGTTCTTTATTAGCCGAATCCTGTAAATCATTAGATTTATTAATTATAACACATGTTCATGATTATCAATTTGAATAATCTAATCTCCTAACACATCTCAGTTATCGCTTTTAAATCTTAAAAGTATTAGAATAATAAAATTGTAATTAACATATAAAAAATAATAAATTATTCCAGCAGACAGAATAAATATTACATTGTAGTAACATACTTTTGTCCCTTTAATTTTAATGAAGTATTGTTATTACTTTCATTAGTTCACTCAAAGGAGGGAAAATTCAAAAGGTGGGTTTGAGATGGGAAGTTAGTGCCCCAAGTGGATCAAAGTCACGATAGCTCAAGTGGTAGAGTAGCGGCGTATCTAGCCGAAGGTCGTGGGTTCGAATCCTGCTTGTGACACTGACTTTTTTATCTAAACTAAAAACCTTAATTAATTTTAAAAAATTTAAAGATTGTTATTACTATTAAAACTACAATTACATTTTAATAGACAGTGATATAAATGCTACATAAGGGAAGCTACTAATTGCCCTGAGGAAAATCGAGTAGTCTGGGCAGTAGGAATCATGAACCAGATTCTTGTTTTTAAATATACGCTAAGAGGCAAAAAGTGGTCACCTTAGGTTTTTTGAAAAGAAAGCTTCTTACTAGACAAGGCAATCTTACATGAAAATCACAGGTGGTGATAGAACATAACACATGGGAGGAATTGATTATTTAGAGTCCTCTCTTATTATAGTCTAATACAAAAATCGTTTCAATGATACAAGAAATTAAGTTTTAACATTATCAAAAATAATGCTGTTAAATGCCTACTTCTTATACCATCGTTTTTCAGTAGGTTTCCACTGTACTACTCTGTACAACTTTGGTTCCTCCTTTTTTGATCAGCATGGAAATATTTTTCCTGATTCACATATTGGTGAAGAAAAAACCAAAATAGGTTTTTGAATTGGTTTATATTACAAAAATTTGTGATTCCACAGTTGAATCACACCAAAGGGATGAGACAAAACCCGTTGAGCTGCGGGTTTGCATACTCAGATTTTCGCTGCATACAGTTGACTCCACTGTGAAGTCATGGTCTAAAACCTTACAAAATGCAATTTTGAGATAATGAGGCCTAAATGCAACATACCAGGTTTCCCGAATTTTTTTTTTTCGTAACCTGGTCATGGATTTTGTTCCTGCATTGAATTAATTAATTTTTTTTTTTCGATTTTGAACCCCCGGTTGAGTCGAGAGTTGTGAGTTAGCAAAAGTACCCTGTCGACTAGTTCAGCTTGATTTCGTGTATCAATCTTGTTAAAATTTGGTCAAAATATATACAAAAACTTTATAAAACTAATGAAATATCAAAAGTCTAAAAAAACTTCGTAAAAGTATGTTTTTGTTTGATTTTTTGAATTTGAACCCCTGGTTGAGTCGAGAGTTGCGAGTTAGCGAAAGTAGCCTGTCGACTAGTTCAGCTTGATTTCGTGTATCAATCTTGTTAAAATTTGGTCAAAATATCTAGAAAAACTTTATAAAACTAATTTAAATTGGGTTAAAGATAACTGTAGGTGTACTGTGAAAACCTGTCAGGTGCTGGTCAAAACCTCTGGAATGACTCAGATCTCTTCTACATTGAGTTTTAATGCTATGGATGGACATTATGGACATATGACAAGCGCTTTAAAATTATATTAATGCAATTCATTAAAAAAAAAAGAAGAGGTAAATTTGGGTTGTAATGATTGCAATGCCCTTCTAGCCACTAACTTTAAAGTAAAGTCACTCTTAAATTCTATAAATGCAAGCTTCTCAACAGCTTTGTCGATCCGAAGTTTTTGACCTTGCAAGGTTTTGGAATTTTGTTTTACACTATTAATCATTTAATGACAAAATATTTTCATTTCAATTAACTTACCCTTGCTCGATGTAGATCAACTCCATACATATCCAGTCTTTTTGCATGGTCTAAAAAATTAAATTCAGCATCTGCAGGAGTCTGCCCTCTGAAGAAAAAAAAATTTATGTTTATATGTATGGAACAAACTAGCTATACTAACTATAATATATGATTTTCATAATAAATGAACAAATTTGTAGATATGATTTGTCGTGTAAGGAGAAGGAAAGTTGTACAGTATTCGTACTTGTGAAGTTTGTGCAGTTCGGATATTTTCTTCTCCATCTCTTCAGTCTGGCCTGGAATGAGGGCCATTCCAGAAAGGTACTTTGGACCGTGTTCATCAGGATGATAATCACCTAATTCAGCTGAATAATAAAATAAGATTAAACTTTTTTTCAAAGAATTTTTTAAAAAGATTGTTTATTTACATTGTACAGTATAACTTGCAAGGAGGCAGGCCGTGGACGGAGGTACTAAAAGCTTTCCATTTAAAATATCTTTCCTAATTTGTAAATAGAAATGGTAACGAGTATACTCCTCTTGCAGTTTACTGGGGTCGGATACGTAGAATTTTACCCTAAGGTAAAAAAAGCCAGGCCCTCTCATCTGTTTCTTCACTGGCTTTGTCGCGTCGAGCCATCTCTACAAAATGTATCAAATATAAATATTAAACACATTATGTTGAATAGGAAAAACCGACTCACCATAAGGTCTGTGTTGGCAGGAGTTGGAGGTGATCCATTATCGGAAAACTGAAGACCGAAATAGTGCTTCTCGACGAGTTCAAGGTGCGTGAACACTTGTTCGAGCAGGGCCTGGCCCTTAGCTCTTTTCTAAAAAATTAAAAAAACTTTCTGTTACGAACCCATTCATACATTTAAATTTGTGAATCATTACCTCGAGTTGAAACACCTGCTTTGTGTCATCTAAAAAGACCACAGTTACACTGAGAGTCTTGACCCTCCTGTCTCTCGCCAGTTCTGTGGCTCTGACGTTGTAAGTTCCACTCGACCCACCGAAAGCACGACGGGAAACACTCTCAATCATAGCTTGCGTATCTTCACCTGTGAAATAAATTAAATCAATGAAAAATAAAACAAAAACATTTCTTGTTTGTTAAAAAGTATGTGCAATTAAAAAAAAATTAACTAGCACTTCAAGTTTATACAATGTGAACAATCATTAATTAGTTCAAATGTGCATACTTTTACTACAATATACTAGACCAAACATGTTGTTTTAGACGTATTATTAAAAACCATAAAACAGCAACAACAGAGTTTAAAAATAATATATTCTTCCTTATTGCCTCAAAAAAAGGCATTCAGAAAAAATCCTAAAATAACAGAACAGAATCAAGAAATCTGATAGCAATCTTATCATTTGTTTGCATTCACTTTGATTATCTATTATCACAATATAGTTGATCATTTTGCTCAATAAATACAGCTTATATTATTTTAATTTTGTAGTACTTATTAAAACTGTTTGCACAAATTATTTACTTTGCTCTCCACACTTCATCGATATGGAGTTGAAAAAAACGTAAATAATGTTTTTTGAATTAAACAAAATGTCAAGCTGATCCTGCCAATTACCTTGTTACATAATATATGAACAATAATTATGTTTCAATGTAATGCCAGAACATTAAAGCGAATGTGTGCAAAATCTAACAGACCGATCAATAAGGTTTCACAGTAGTGTTATTATAGGTTTTTTTAAATGTTCATTTTTTATTATCCTCTGTTTTGAACAAGAGCAATGAAATATTTTAACTAATGTGTAGAGATTAGTGACCGTTAATCGATAAACAGAGACGCTAGGATGGCACAATTACACAGAAGACAAACACTTTGAGCCCTGAAGATGATCTCAATAAAAGATCGAAACGTTGGCACGATAAAGAAAATGTTTTTCTGAAACCTACATCACACCCGACCGCATCTCACGATATCTGAATAACTATTTTAACTAATTTTGTTTTGTTCTCTTGAAATCAGAAAGTATTAAGTAATGTTAAGTTCTGTACATTGCAGTCAGACAAGCCTTATTTTATACAGTATGTCGTAAATTCTCAAATGGAGGAAAGGTAGAATGTACAATGGAAATAAATATGATGAAAGGAACCAACAGAACAAAAATATCAATACCAACAACGTAAATAACTAATTAACTGTAAAATTATTCTGGATGTTGCTTTATTTGTACAGCAGTTCGTGATCAAAACTTGGAATACAGTGTAGACAAAACACAATCAACAATAGCAACTGTTTAATAAATTATTAACCCCTTGCAAATTTTGACTGACAGTCTAATTAAGCCTTTAGGCTCTATTCCCTTTTTTCACACAGGGCCACTGGTGACCAGTTTCCCTTTCTTCCACTGCAACCTAAAAGATTAATTGTACAATAAGCCTTCCTTAAATCCATTTAGAAATAAGGAAACAATATAATCGGCAACCAAATTGCATGAAGATATTTATTTAATATAATTATTTTCAAATTGATTTATAATTTTTATAAAAATGTGGTTGAGATGAAAAATTAGCGCCATGAGCGGGACTCGAACTCACAACCTTTGGCCGGTTTCATCTCAACCACACCTCATAAAAAAATTATAAATCAATTTAAATAATTACTTTAGTTAACTAGGACCAACTAAAAGAATATATATAGCATATGGCAATGTCATACACTGACAGGTAAAAAATTCTGCCCAATTGATTTTTTCCCTTCATTTTCTTGATAAAAGAAAATTTGCCCTTAATTTTTCTCATTATTTTTACCAATAAATATTTGTTTATGTTATGTTTTAATTTGGGAATATCAATTAGAGGTAAACACACTTAATCCTTAATCCAAAACAAGGATAAAGGATTTTTCAATGTTTACTTTTTTACAGAATTTAATATGTTTATTCAGTCTCATTTGAATTCTAAAGCAATAAACTGTTTAGTTTCATCTTTGTTTTCGTAATTTCAATTTTTAAACTTAAAAATGCCACTTAGTGCTGAGGATTTTGTGCGTGGTGTGGCACTTATTGACAATGGACGTTCCATCAGGTATGCAGTTATTGCCATCAGAGTTCCCTATGAAACACTCAGTGTTAGATGGTTTTGACAAACTGGGTCGTACCATAAAAGGCTTGGTTCTGGATGCCCTAGTATAACGGAACCACAAGATGACCGTTTTTGACTCTGAGAATTTTGCCAAACCAGCACCTTACGTTCAAGCGATTCATCAGCTCCAACAAGTTTGAGGTGTCCATATTTCTGAACATACTGCTGGAAGAAGATTAAATCAGTATGGACTGATGGCTTTTCGCCCTATAAGAAGACCAGAATTGACCAGAACACACGGAGTTGCATTGCTCGCATTTGCTTGACAACACAGCCATTGATCTTTGGACGATTGGTCTGCTACTTTTTACAGATGAGTGTAGATTTGCTCTTCGATCTCCAGATGGCCGTTAAAGTGTGCGGAGAAGGCAAAATGAAAGATACGAAGCCTGTAAGTTTTCCCAGAGCCAACCTTTTAAACATAGCTCAGTGATGGTGTGGGCGGGAATTTGAATGAAGAGTGGCACAGAGTTGGTGGACCGTCTTTGACGGCCACTCGTTATGGGGATAAAATTTTGGAACATCATGCGTTGCCTATACTTGATGAAGCTCCAAGAAGTTCGAGGTGTCCATATTTCTGAACGCACTGCTCGAAGAAGATTAAATCAGTATGGACTGATGGCTTTTCGCCCCGTAAGAGGAACAGAATCGACCAGAACACACAGAGTTGTACGGCTCGCATTTGCTCGAGAAGACAGCCAGTGGTCTTTGGATGATTTGACTGCTGAACTTTTTACAGATGAGTGTCGATTTGCTCTACGATCTCCAGATGGGCGTGAAATAGTGAGGAGAAGGCGAAATGAAAGATACGAAGCCTGTAAGTTTTCCCAGAGCCAACCTTTTAAACGTAGGTCAGTGATGATGTGGGCGGGAATTTCAATGGGGAGTCGCACAGAGTTGGTTGTTGTTCGTGGAGGGTCTTTGACTGTCACTCACTGTGGATGATTATTTGGAACATCATGCGTTGCCTATTCTCGATGAAATCCGCGACAATCCTATTCTAATGCACGATAATGCCTGTCCACATGTCGCTCACATAGTACAAACGTACCTTCAACAGCATAACATCAGGGTCTTAGCCTGGCCAGCCCGTTCTCCAGATTTCAAACCCATCAAACATTTATGGGATAGCCTCAAAAGACAAATAAGAGCATGTTTCCTGATACACTCCATGATCTTCGTCAAGATTGGGCTAACCTCCAGAAAAGAGGCATTTCCAGACTTGTAGAAAGTATACTGCGGCATCTTCCAGATGTAATTAAGGCAAGAGGAGGAAATATGCAATATTGAAATGTTAATTAAAAATCCAAATCAAAACTAAAACAAATTTTACCTACCCGTCTGTTTTATTTTTATTTTATTTTTAATTTTCCTTAGCAGTATATATTTTTTTGCTGTTTTAGACAGACTCAATTATTAAACATTAAAAAACGTGACTTTAATTAATATATAAAAATATATACAAATCAGTTATATTACAAGTGGGGTGTAATTTTTTGCCTGTCAGTGTATACGGTAACTTTGGTACACATCGGCGTACATTTTTGTAAGTGTGGACCCAGCTTAAGAGTGACAGTGTGAATGAGTTTCAATCTAGGATGCATGCGTTGTGTGCTGAATTGACCTAGTACTACCACTCGGAGCCCGATCTCGATGGCTGAACGGATAAGACATAGGTCTGACCTCCGGATTGGGTGATTCTCAAGGTCTGTCGGTAAATTATAAAGCACATAGGCAGGAATTGCTGGTGGACTGAGAAGTGACAGGCTCAACTCTGTACATGTGTGCGCATATGTATATGCATGTCCAGATTTGGGCTTATATAGATCAGTAATAAATATAAATCAGAATTGTAATTGTATCTTAAAAAATACTATATTAATCTAATATAGGCAAAAACTTATTTTTTGCTGAAAACGTATGTCTAATATAAAAAAAATTGCGTTTCGATTTTTTTTTTGTTTAAATTATATTATCAAGTGTAAAGATTTATTTGTGACTTTGCTTCGGGGGCTGTCCAGATCGTGTAAATTGGTTCTCCGGTAAGGAGGATTTGTGTAACCAGTACTGGTACTCACCTCAGTCATTCTCCTCTAGTTGGAAACCGCTTTTGGGGCCGATCGCTCCGAGTCAGTTGGCGATGCGAGCCAATATCACAGAAGTAGCGAAAAGAAGTTGGCAGTAAATCGAAAAGAAATCAATATTAGAGTAACCTAATTAAACAGCTATCAGAGAGTCCGAAACCGTTGGTGCAAATCAAACCTGGCAGAATCCAAGCCATTTAAATTTATGAACTGAGAGTAAACGCTCCGAGGCTGGAAACGGGCGTGAAACTCTAGAAAGCGAGACGGAGCGGATTAATGGAGTTTGGATGTTGAAAAAACCTACGCACAAAACGCAGGTGAAATTAAACTGATTCTTAAAATATCTCTGGGAAGGAAACGCTTTTCGAACGGGCCGGCATACATTTTACGAGGGCGGAAATCGGCCGGAAAAACGGCCCCGGCTGCTGAAAACGGACGGAGGATCCGAGAAAATCCGAAAGAAAATAAACAGAAAGAAGTCCTGGGGATGGACTTTATCGAGGGTCTCTTATCTTCATTCGTGTTGCGCGTCCAGGCCGTGAAGAGGTTAATTGACCAGGTCGTGAACCCTTTCCTTGCTCAAGAAAAAATAAAAAGCCTTGCAAAAGTCGAAATCGGTGTTTTTTTTAATGATATCCGTTGACTTGGGTTTTAATTATTAAGGTTTCGAGAATATTTTATGTCCGAATTGGCTGGTTCCGCGGCGAAGTCTGTGGGCGTGAACGTGAGACTTTGCCGCGTCTACGCCATTCTTTTCAATTTTGATGCGTCAATCCAATCAATTGCGTTCAATATCGCGTAAAGTTTGTTTACATAAAATATATAAATAAAATTGCAAGATGACTAATAAAAAAATAATTGTTTTCAATGCTTTTTCAATATTTTTTAGCCAGCAAGGACTGCTAGTAGTTATTGTTAAGAATTGTACTTTTTTTTTAAATTTGTGAAAAACAATCTATGCACGCAGACTGCTTGCTATAATCCTTGTCCCTAAGTTTCAAGTGTGTCTGTACAAAAGAAATCTAAAAATGTTTTTATGTTTCCCACACCCAACAGACATCTTTCCAAATAGCTTCCACCTTTTTGTAATTTATATAACATTTTATAAAATAAAAAAATCCCCTAAAAATATTTGTTTCAGTCTGTCAAGAATTAGTTTCACTGTGGACATGTTAGATCTTATCTATAAGTTTTCAAGATATTGTTAGTTTTTTACATGGGGCAACTTAGTTGGTTCAACTCATTGGCTGGTTGATTCTCAACTAGTACAAAGCCATGAAGTCTTCATGGCTGGTTTCATTTGTGAAATCAACTTTTTTTCCCAACAGGTGGTCAGTATGATGGAATTGGTCCAGCTCCAAAGAAGCAGAAGCACTTATTGTACTGCTTATTTGCAAGAAGAGTAGCAAAAAAAAGGAGGCAAACCAGTGGGTTCTCTGTTGTTACAAAATCGGGTGCTTTTTCGCAAATACTGCTGTTACACTTCCCTCTTTTTAATTTTGTTGCTATACTCTCTACGCTTCATGTAATACATACAAACTTACTAATACAAATTTCATCAATGAACTGTTCCACATTGAAACTTGCACTGGCTTTCTATGGTGAATTCAGTTGACAAAACTAAGAGGTTCGTGTGCAGGATGAGTGGTCTTTTGAGTTGAGTCAACCAGTTAGGATGAGTATGCGAGTGGTGGTTCCCAATCATTTGCTACATTACACTCCTTGACATCTAACTAACCACCTTGCTAAGGGCTAAGACTCAAAAGATTAAAGGCTCTTATTGACAGATCAGGTCCAAATTAGTAATATAATACGTTTTCGGACATTTCTCAAGCCTTTGATACTATGGCATGAAAGCAAAACTTGACAAAAAAAAATCCTCCACATTTAGTATCTAGAACTTCTTTCCTCCTACTTTCAGAGAGAGACTATTCTGAGTAAAGCAAAAGGACGTATAATGCATCCTTTTAGGAGTAAAGGCAGATGTTCCCCAGGGCCATCCTGCATTTGCTTTATACTAGTGATGTGTCACCAACAGAAAACACAACTATAACAGCATTCACTGCAACTTTCTCAGTGGAAAATTGAATTGATGCATGTACAAAAAAACTGCAAAATAAACATGTGACAGTAGGATACGAGGTAATCAAGAAAATATACATTTGTCAAATTAATTGTAAAATTGAAAATCATCTTATTAAACTAAATATTTGCACTTTAGTGGGGATAATAAAATAAATGTCATGTATCGTTTCATTCAAGTATAAAGCTGTTATATACTAAATTTCAGATTGGTTTTCTGTATTTTGCTTGTATCCAGACACGATACATTTTTAATTTTTTTCCCCTGTTAACCTGCAGCCGCCGATCAACTAGATTCTGCTCCTCTTGAAATCCGACTTTCATGAATAAATCTTTAATTTCATCTAAAAAATAAACATATTTAAAAATCAATAATAATCAGATAATGTTAGTTATGTATTCAATTATTATTTTTATAATAACCTTGTGTAAAGAAGTAAACAAATGTGCCGTCCCCTCTAGCATAAAAATTCTCCTGCAAACACCTTCCTGACTTGATCCTTAGCTCGGCCATGTCGTACTTGCCATAATCCCTAAGAATGACGAGACCTCCAGGCTTCAAATACTTATAGACTTGCTTCACTACAATCTCCATTCTAAAAAGTACAAATTGTCACATGAAAAAATGCAATTTGATTTTATTTGAACTTGTCTTACTTTTCTGGGACAATAGCTGACAGGACAAATATTAAAATGATTATATCTAGGCTTGATTCCTCAAATGGCATTTCAGCGTTTTCTGATGTTACATCGCATACAAACGCACAACACCTGTTTGAAACATTCATTAAAAATTTGTCGCAAATCTTGTAATGTACAACAGTCATTTATAGTTTACCTCGCTTCATCAAATTCTTCATGATTTTTAAGAATGTCGACAGCTGTCTCGGAAAAATCGCAACAGTAAATGAACAAGTTTGAGTCAGCTGCGTACTTGAGTACGGGAAAAACTGTGTTTCCGACACCGCAGCCGATTTCCCACAGAAGCATTTTATCTTTATTTTTATCCTCTTTCGGTATGAGTTCAGGAAACTCTACAAACAGCCAATGTCGGTCTTTGAAGAATCTTGAATCGTCACATTGTTAATAATTTAAAAGATTTAAGACAATCAACAGACTCACCTATTTGAGTGTATGTTGTAAAAAGCATCCCACTGAATGTTCGCAGTTCGCTTAAGCGTCTCTTGCATTTCCATATCCATCAGGTGCATTGAGCTCTCATTGACTAACTTTTCAGCAAGAGCCACCTGCTCTGGGTTCCATTCAACATTGTCCCTGTGCAAGAGCTTCATTCAGTTGTTATAAAATTTTAAAAATATAACAATAATTTACCAGGCATTGTGTTGATACACATCTCCTTCGTTTGTTAAAAATCTAGCTCCAAATTGCGGCCGTTTGTCCTCTTCTCTCCATTCAGCATCCATTATTTTTAAATGCAAACTACACTAATTAAAATATGAAAAACGTCAAGTTGATTCTAGCTTAAAGGAACTACACAGAATCAATGTGCTCCACCTTCTAGGGGGTTTACTGACATAGGTACCCTTCCATGGGACTTCTTAAGTCAAAAAATTTCCCACTGGACATTATCTATCTTTAAAATATATATTATATGTTTTAAAATATGTAATATCGTTTTTTATGAAGTTATATAGTATTAGGTACTTTTTATATCATTTATTGTTCTATGGTTTGATCCTTAAGACTTAATTAAAAAGTCTAAATATTTTTTTTTAATAATTTAAACATTACAATTAGGGTATACATACAGAGAATATGTTAAAATTGATTTATGTTCAATTTATATTTAATTTGAGATTCCAGGCTTGAATTTGATTAAACAAGGGAGTCTGGGTATATAAAAAATTACGATTAGCCAATATGTATTTATTTATGGGTATTTACCAAATTACAATAAAAAACAATAACACATACATATACTGACATGACTGATTTATAATAATGAACAAAAATGAATATTAGTAGTAATTTATTTAGACATCGTGAGGTGCGGTCTGGTGTGATGTAGGTTTCAGAAAAACATTTTATTTATCGTGCCAACGTTTCGATCTTTATTGAGATCATCTTTATTGAGGGCCACTCTCGACACGACAAGCAAGAATGGCACAATTACACAGAAGTCAAACACTTTGAGCCCTGAAGATGATCTCAATAAAGATCGAAACGTTGGCACGATAAAGAAAATGTTTTTCTGAAACCTACATCACACCAGACTGCACCTCACAATGTCTAAATAAATATTGATTAACGGTCACTAATCACCACACATTAGTAGTAATACTAATAAATAAGTGCAACAAAATAAACTGATTTCAATAATGAGTATCAATATTATGAAAAATATTTGGTTTTTAGAATTTTTTTGGTTATTGATAAACTTTTATAGGTTTTATTATTGCAATCTTCATAAAAAATTCATATACTTGATTTGAGTAAGTAGAACGGCGAAATAAAACTATTAAAAAATGGAAAATTTCAACTTTTAAATTTTTTGGTGAAACCAGGGCCTATTACCATACCACAATAAGTGGCAGATATGTGTCTGATATCTTGGAGTGGAGTCATCAAAAAAGTTTGAACCAAATTCGTGGCACATCAACCTGGTCAACCTGACAATGCATTATATAGAGAACTATTAGGAATAAAAGTTGCTCCTCTTCTAAACATCACTGTGGACATCTAGTCAAATGTTTGAATTAGAAAATTTATTTATTTATTAAGAAGATTATCTGGTCAAGTGTCTCTGAAAATATTACACTTTTATTTAGTTATATTTGGTGGCATGTTTGGTATATTGGTTTGGGGGGTCACTCAGCTTCAGCCAAATGTTTTTGCTGCCCAAAGAAAGACAAGTAGAGTGATTAACAACCTCAATTACTGGGAAAATTGTAGAAATCTCAACTTAAGGATGCTCCCTGTGCCACATATGTATTGTTGTTTTGTACATAGAAATAAGGATAAGTTCACTTTAAACTGCTATATTGACAAATACAGCTCCAGAAGTGAACTTAAATTATATGTTTTGCTCATGAGAGAGAAAACTTCTCAAAACAGTACAAGGTTCTGGATGCCAAAACAATACATCTGCTTAACCGCATCGTGTCTGTTAAAGAATTTTGTGATAACAAATGTAGCAAATCACTTTTGTATCTTGATTATGTAATACGATCTCTTGTTTTCTACAATAAATTATTCCTATTTTTATATTAATAAACACTTTTTTTCCACCAGTTTTTATTTTATTTTGTTTTTTCTTGAACGCTTTCAGATCAACACTCAGTCTCAGCCTTCTGTTCTTTACATTAACTGTATCCATTGTATTTCTATAATATGTTGTTTGCTAAGTTTGTAATGTGGTAATTTTAATGTAAAGGAAGAAAGAAAAAATAAATAAAATAAAAACTGATGGGACAGTTAAAAAATGAGTAAATTGATTTTATATATTTATTTACTTTTCATCTCAATGCTCTTATACAGTATATTACACACAGTAGATTACATATTTACAGTATATTATCATAAAATAAATTTTAATGTATCCAATTATGTTGGTAAATAAAAATAAGACCTGAAGATGAAATTATATGGTGTGAATATGTCTAAAGCTCGGTGAATGCTGTAGAACTGATATAGACTGTAACCCTTATTGGATCTTTTCCTCATCATCTGTGTACCATGCATAGATGTTCTCTCCAAAATGTTTACTTTTTCTACAGAATAAATGTTTCTAAAAATTACAAATTGTACAGATTGTAACAGTCAGCAAATAAGCATTTTCCTTTTTACGAATGTATAACAATTTGTCGACTCATATGAAAATGATTATTCAAAGATCGTGAGATGCGGTCTGGTGTGACGTAGGTTTTAGAAAAACATTTTCTTTTTCGTGCCAACGTCATAAAAAAATAAAGCAATAAAATAAATAAAAATAAAATATAATAAATAAAAATAAATTTATACAATGCTAGAAAATTTTATTTAATTATTATTTTTTTAAATCTAAAATTTTCTAGCATTGTATAAATTCATTTTTTTCATCCCCTACATGTTATTTGTAAAATTTAAACAACGTTTATAAATTCCAGACCCTGAAGATGATCTCAATAAAGATCGAAACGTTGGCACGATAAAGAAAATGTTTTTCTAAAACCTACGTCACGCCAGACCGCATTTCACGATCTCCGAATAATCATTGACTAACGGTCACTAAACACCACACATTTATATGAAAGTTTTTAATAAATAAAATATCAGAACTTTTGAATTTTAGCTGCTAGATAATACTTACTAGTTACAATTCTTTTATTCACACAAGTACAAGTTCAATACGTTTTATTGTGAAGTGCAAGGAATAAAAAAATACTTTATATTTTTTGTTCCCTCTGTATAACTTTCCTTTGTGAAAATATATACTTAGACCAATAAAGGAAATGAAAAATTCCTGGTATCTACTTGTCATAAATAAGCAAAAAGAACTTCAAACGTCTGGACTCGCTCTTCAGGGATGGTTTTTTTTAAAATAATAATAATTCCCCTTGGAGTTTCCAGTTCATCGGCCCGGTGCGTCTGAAGATTAAGAAGCCTTCACTCGCCCGACGGACAGATGAAAGACGCCTTCCAACTCTCGGCAAGAATTTTAATTTGCAACTCTTTCCTGAAGTTCCAAAATCGATTTTGTGGCGTTTTCCGTCCGTCGGACATGACGTGATAGCTGGCTCTCGCCTATCGCTTCTTCAGCTAAATGCGAAAAGCTACACTTCGTTCTCTTACCTGTCAACAAGTCATGTCAAGAATATTTCAAAGGAGAAATTTTTCTTTGCCATCCACTTACTGAAATTGGTCAAGTTATTATAGATGTTGAAAGAATGAGTAAATCTCATAAAATATATTAATTAAAAAATTTAATTAACTATATATGTGGTTGCTTTTCATCTCCGATTATCCTGGCTCATGAATACCAAGCCCGAGGCGAACTTACCGCCGTTTTTTTTTTTGTTCGCTAAAAATATCATTTCGCAATATTGTAATGAAATATCTCCACCCTGTAATTCCAAATAAAGATTTCAGTGTTCAAATAGACATTAGATCCAAAGATAATTTCACAAAAGTCAAATAAATCCCATTTTCATTTAAAATAATTCTTAAGGGAAAAAAATAATTTTTGTCAGTCATTATGACGAAGGGGTGAGACAAGAACAACAGACAACCGAACACGCTAAAACTCGTATGACCGAAAGAGCGAGGAAGGGTGGACCAAAATTGACGATCAAAACGATAAACCAGCAGAACTTCACAATTGAACAAGTTCGTTTGTTCCGATGCCGCTTGGTGGAACTCATGTCAAATGTTTGATCAATAAAGATCTCAGGGTCCGCATATACCTGCTTTACTTTCCTCACACCTTTGTCAAGAATCACACCTTTAAGTAAATTGTGACATATTTTAATTGAAATATACACCATATCAAATTCTGGAGTCCTCTAATCGAAGTTCTTTTTGACGTCGGTTAATCATTGAAAAATCATATTGACCACTTTTTTTTGTCGATATCCTATTGTTTAGCAGTGGCACAGTGACACAAATTAGGGCACTACCGTCATGCAAACGTTTATGAATATTTGGCACGATATGCTTAAGTTTTGTTCTTTCACATTTGGATACGATTCAGATCTTTAATTGAACGGTATTTGACACTATTTGCTCAAATTTATCAGTATATTGGCATTAGGAGCCGTATTTAGCACAACTTAATAACAAATTATTGTTGTAATTGTCTTGTCGATAAAACAACAAAAATTTGGAAAACAGTTTTTTTAAAAAATGAGTAGTCAACAGTCCGTTCCAAACCGAAATCATGCCTCTTCATGTAAATGGGATGAAGGGGAAGAGACTTCAGGGAAGCTCAAAGGTGAATGTAAGTAAAGTTTCCCCTTGTAAATTGTAGGAAATGAGATAACTGCGACATTTGTTTTTGCATTCCCTAGGTGGATGTGGCCCATGGCAATGTTGAACTCAAAACGAGCCACAAACTTATATATCCAATAAAACCAACTCAAGTTTTAATACACTTTATAACCGACCCCGGAGGGAAATTTTTCTCTCTCTCTTTCTGCATACTTTTACCTCTCTTCCAACTCGCTCCGGAAAACAGCCAAAGTGAGAGGAAGATCGAAAAGTTTCCTTTTGACTGTGGCCGCTTTGAAAGTCGACAAATGTATTTTTGGTTTGTTTTAAGAGTATTTAATTCGAATCCGATGATCCGTTACACCGATTCCGATATAATCGTTAAGCTAATTACCTGTCAAATAAAAGTTTCTTCGCTTATATTTCAAAAAGATGGAGTATAGGACTAATGCTAACTGAATAATTACGGTTTTACGAAAAGTAATATTTATTAATTCACTTGATCATTACAGTTTTTTATTTTTTATTTGATTTTTTAATGAATTTTTACAAATGAATAATCAATTTGGATAACACTAAAATCTTTGATTTGTG